GGAAACCGAAGATTATTCTTACTAAAAGGTTGCTGTTAAATTGTTTCCTGTTAAATTTAAAAGTATCCTGACTTTTTTCATTGATAGATTTTAGCTTTCTTCTACACCCTGTAGAATAGTAAAGATCACACTGGAAAATCAATAGATATTAGCTCATGGTTTATTTACTTGACCACATGTCACAGCAAGCCCACATGTCTCAGTGTCCCTGAAAGTCTCTGTATCACTTTCTATATATCTCACTGACCAAAAAAGCAAGTGTTGTGATTATCTCACAATGGCAGCTGTTACTCTAAAGTTCTACCACATTGTAAATTTAACCAAGGACATAAAATCAACTCCATGAGAGTTTAATTATGCATTATATATGTGATATGAACTGTGTTCACCTAAATACGGATGTATAAAATTGAACAAGCCTAGCAATGTTCATTAAATTTCTTTGCCTGAAAACAAAGAAAATTATCATCATAGATCATAAATTTGCTTTAGTGAAACTGTGTGCCTTGTACAGTTATGTGTTATCATTAACTACTGAGTCAGATCAAAGCTTGTTTTACAAATATGATCCCGACTGACCAATAAATACAATGATTAGATCAAGAGGAGAAAAAGAGCTCTATTTTTTAGATATTAAAAACTTGTGGAGGAAATGCTATTTTTCTTTTCTTTTCATTTCTTTTCTTTTCTAGACTTGTCTGATAAGAAAAGAAAGATTTTGGAGAAAGTCAGAAAATATAAATACAATCTTATAGAGTAATATGGGGATAGATGTATTATTTAGTAGCTTTAAGAAAATCANTCATGAATCAGTTATAATTTATCACGTTCTTACAATGATTATTCATAATTAAAAAACAAAAAAAAACAAACAAAAAGCCAGGCGGAGGTGGCACGCACCTTTAATCCCAGCACTGGGGAGGCAGAGGCAGGCAGATCTCTGTGAGTTAGAGACCAGCGTGGTCTACAAGAGCTAGTTCCAGGACAGGCTCCAAAGCCACAGAGAAACCCTGTCTCGAAAAAAACAAACAAAAATGATTATTCATAATTATAGAATCTATATATATAGTCCCTATCTTAACTTTACTGAAAGTACTCCTATGAACCTTTAAATATGACAAAAACAATTTCATGATGAAGACAAACATACTTGTATATGAAAAAAATGTGATTTGCTTCTATTTTTCTTACAAGTTGGAAGAGGTTGCTTCGTGGTTTTATCTTTAGATGTTGAATATTGACTAAAGTCAGCAATTCCAGGATATTAATCAGAAATATCAGCGTTTTAGCAAAGAAGGAAATGTTTTGTTCTATAGTGTTCAATAACTCATTTTAAATCTTTAAAATACTCTTAATTATACATTTAAGTTTTTTCTTTTAATTTATTCTTTTCCTTCTAACCAGGGTTAAGATAGCCTTAAAGAAGGAGAGGGGAGGATCCTGGGATCATGTGTGGACTTGCCTGTGAGTGCATGTGTACTATGTGTGGGTCTATGTGTGCTATGACGCATATGTGGAGGGCAGAACACAGCTCTCAGAGTTCATTTCTCTGATTCCATCATAGGATCTGGGAATTAAGCTCAGGTTAGATCATCAGTTTTGCTTAACAAGTGATTTTACCCCTGAACCGTCTTGTGGGTTTGAAGGCGGATTGGATTACGTTCTTCATTCTGTTTTCATTTTTAATTACAGGAATATATGTGTGCAGGGCTGTGTGTGATGAGGATAAGCGCACATGAGTGCAGTGGCCAAGGAGGCAAACGATGGCCTTAGATCTCTTGGGCTGGAGTTTCAGGTGGTTATAAACCACCTTGTGGGGGCTGAGAAGTGAGCCCAGCCTTGGTGACAGCAGTCCATCTCTTAACCACTGAGTGCCACTACAACATCTCTGTGCCTACTTAGTTGTTCTGTGGAATCTCAAATATGCTCTCTACTAATGCAGTGTGAGCACTGTCTAAATATATTTTATGTTGCTAATAGATACTCACAGTGTGGGGATTTATAAACAGTATAAGTTTTCAGCTCATAGCTTTGAAGGCTGAATTAGTCAGGATTCACTGTCAGGTGAAGGACTCTATCCTGGGTGATAACTGGGTGGGCAGGAAGCTTGTGATGAGAGGACACAGAACACATATGCTTCAACACCCTCTTTTCAGTTACATATTCCTTTTTTTGCCCCCCCCCCCCGTAGCACCAAACATAACCCTAATTTCCTCCCAGTAGCCTCTTTGCATCTATATATGAGCTACAGATCCACACATGGACAATATGTCCAGACAATACCACACGGGGATCTAGGTGTCACCCCTGTCTAAGACTTGAGGATCTGGCAAGTACCTGCCAATATTACAAGAAACTGATATATTTAAGTCAAACAGAATATATATGTATTACAAATAGGAGCATAGGCAGAGAGATTTGGAACCTACTTTTAATTTATTACAAATAATGAAAAAGCCTTTGCAAGACTATTCCATAGACCTCAAGATACAATAAGATGGCATTGACTTCAAAACATGCTTTGTGCTGCTGAAGGAGGCCAATTGTTGATTCCTGGCAACTAGGTAGCTCAGAACCAAAATAATTACACAGAAACCATATTATTTAAGTCACTGCTTGGCCCATTAGCTCTAGCTTCTTATTTGCTAACTCTTATATCTTAATTTAACCCATTCCATTAATTTGGGCATCACCACAAGGTCATGGCCTACCAACAAAGTTTCAACACATCTGTCCCCAGCAGCTCTCCATGGCTTTTCTCTGACTCCGCCTCCTTTCTCCCAGCATTCAGTTTTGTTTTCCCCACATAGCTCTGTTCCCCTATAGCTCTGCTATAGGCCCAAAGCTGTTCCTTTATTAACCAATGGTATTCACAGAATAACAAGGGGAATCCCTCATCACTGTGCAGTGATGTGAGAAGAATGCCTGACCTTTGTGAGATTTGGTTTCGTTATCTACTACACAAACATAGAGACACCTGCTCTGCTGAGCCATGGTAAGAAGGAGGTGGTGTAAGCACTTCTGAGCAACATCTGGCTCCAGAAGTTTCTTGATAAATTTTGATTGTCTGTGTTAGTTCTTACTATTACTTTTAATGCTTTCTCAGTGTGTGTCCTTTCAGTCATCGGAATGTCTATTAATTCCTGTACTGTCAGCTGCTAAATGTTTCCTTATAATGAAGTATAGTATGCAGAATTAAAACCCGAGCCTCACATAATCATCAGGGAAATTTGTACTTTGTTTGAGGAAGGTTGTCCTGCAGCACAGCTCACCTCCCCTTACTGGGCACTTAGCATACAACTCTCCCTCTTGACTAGGAAGCCACAAAAGAAACTGGTTTAGCATCTACCATGGCCCATGTGTCTTCAACATCCAACTCTTTTTTGCCAAATTCTTTTCTAAAGAAGTAGCAGGATGGCTGGCATATATTCCAACTGTTGGTGCTGCCAAATCAACTCTTTTAAAAGCAGAACAAAACAGTGTTTTCTAACAGCACAGTCACCTGTCTCCTCTCCTCCCCTTTCATTTGAAAATCTTTTGTAAAGTCTAGCTTCCTGACACCAAAAGCGTCAATGAAGCCTGTCAGTTCTGTACTTCCTATTATCCAGTGCAGATTGGAGAAATAAACCTTCCCATTTCCTAATAACTCTTACATTTTTATTTAACAAATAATTTATTTCCAAATATTGGTGTTCAGAGCATTATTTGGACAGGGAGGTGGAGTGCAAGGGTGACTCCTAGCAACATGATGCAGGCAATTTATTTCTTCCTAAAGTACAATGTGATCATGCAGGCACCTCCCCGGGGAATTTACAGCAGATATGCTGGTGATCAAACGCCACAAAGACATTTTGGCCATTGGGGAAAAATTCATTGCTACATTGGGAGTAAAATACCTTAAAGATTTTACAGCATCTCTACTCTTCATTTCTCAGAAACATGTTTTTTGTTTGTTTTTAAGGCTGGACAGACAAGATTAAATTGCACTTTTAACATGAAATGAATTGTGTGAACAATAGGGAAATACAATTTTTTTAAGTTATATAGAATTTGGTGCTTCTTGAATATACAGATCTGGATCTCTAAACTCCTGTCTACCTGGTATGTTGTGTCTGAGACAGTTTCTGCCCTGACTCAAGTTGCCACTCTGCTCTCTATGTGTAGGGTTTCTACACTATTCACAACACCTAGAAAAGTTATAAGTCCTGTTTTCCTCGGAGCTTGGATTCAGGTTCATAAGAGGGACATACAGATGTAGGCATGGCATTTGCTGGTACTCTTAAGGTTCTGAGACAGCTGTGTCACTTTTGTGTGGCACATGGATCAGTTTTCAAATAGAGCTTTAGGGTGGAGTGAGGGGTATGTGCAAAAAAGTCTCAGCATGCCCTTGGAGATGCCATTTAGATTTATTTAACTTTTGAATTCAAATTAAGGTATGTTCTGGAAATACACACACACGCACAAGCACACACACACACACACACACACACACATATATATATCATTGCTGATAAATTTCAGAAGCATCACTAAGAATAACATTAAGCATTAAGAAAGGCATACCCAAGGGACTAAAGAAATATATCAGATTGATTATATATTGAATGAAATACAGAAATGGGTAACTGTGTCTGGAGTTTTTCTTAGTTCAGTAACCAGAGGTTGTTTTAAGTTATTTTTTCTATAATATTTGATCCTTTTTGAATATAAAGAATTGTCTTAAATACTAACTTCTTGATATTGTAGCTCATGAAGGAATGAGTCATTGTATCCTCTTACTGGTCTATGACATGAGAAAGGTATCTAGAGTTTTTTGTCTTTAAAGAAATATAGACTCAAAAAAATGTGAGGAAAGGATTTTTCAAAATTAAATTTGTGTCTTTTTATTATTACTCTGGGCATGGAATAAAATGTGAAATAACCAATAAATTAATAATGACAGTCTTAACTATTGAATGCTACAAATTCTTCTTCTTTTTTTTTTTTTTTTTTCATTTCAGCTCTCAGGAGAAGTAATTTTACAACTTGCCAGTGAACCTGTTCTGCCCTTCAGTGCCCTTGATATAGCCCTAGGAGTTCAAAACAGCCTTAGAGGTAAGTGTTCTTTAAATGCTTATAATTTTGATGAGTGAAAATGTTTTCAAATACTTTGAACAAGGACTAAATAAAGTATCCAGTGTCTTAAAAATTATCACAATGATTTGGCTGTGTTCCTCTGAGGGGAAAATGAGAACAGTTGAAAAATGTTTAAGCCACCCTGTAGTCAGAAACGAGAGAGACCTTTGTGTGACAGAAGGCAGTGTGTCACAGACTGGAGGAGTTTGACTGCCCTCGTTCGTCATGCAGAGATTTGAATTTCAAGTCAGAGGTTCTGTAACTATCCACAGATTCACTGTGACTAGCAGTTCAGGAATCCCACTTTTCCTATCATTGGACACATGAAATCCGAAGTTCCTCCTTTGGGACTGGTTACTGTGGAATGCGGTTCGCGTTCCTGGCTCATGTCAAAGGCAGCAGTGAGGAAACCGGAGAATCAGTTCCATCGTTTCCATCTCAGTCCCTCGCATATAAACATCTGCAGCACTCAGACCCTCACCTTCCAATTAAGCTCTTGCTTGGCTTCATTAACTAAAAATAAAGGGGGAGACTGTGATTAAGGTTGTCATTAATCTGAGTAACATATTCTGTTAGCACATCTTTAAGGAGTCGGGGATAGAAAACTACTCAATTGGAAAGAAAACCAGTGTTTTAGCTGCAGTGTTTAAAGTGTCCCTTGACAACAGAGCAACATCCAAAGATTTATAATAACTTGGAATTGAAGACATTTTTAAGTTGAAGCCATTCTTCCTTAAACAATTATCCAAGTTTATCTATTTATTATATGCTGACTATTATACTGGATGACAATGGCTTTGCCAGCTCTTTTACCTACTCTTGTTGATCTCTGTAGCTCTCCTCTTCCATGCTTCCACAGGCTCCCCTCACTCCGAGGTTGCCATGGCTACTTGTGTCACTCTGTCACCACTTTACATTTGCTATTTCGAGAATATCTGAAGCTCAGAATCAGGGTAGTGAATCACGTGGCATTTTACAAAATAACCATAGAGCAGGTACAGAAAATAAATAGTTCTGTGAATAATAACCTTTTCACAAAAATTTTATTTTTTAAAAAAATCTTTTCCATTTGTTCTAGAGGCTGTTTTTCTTTCTTTTTTTAGCATCGGAAATTTAGCCTCTATAAAATTCTTTTGGTCTGGAAGATCGTACTTTGAACTTCCAGAGAACAAAAGAAGAGGCTTTTTACATTATGACATCCTTGTCTGTCTGTAAAGTATCATGCATGAGATACTTGAAAACATCAACATTGTCTAATAGGATTATAAAAAATTCTGCAAAATTGCCTATGATCAATGCCTGTGCAAGAAAGAAAAGTAGAATTAAATTTAAAAAGGTTAAAGAAATTAAGGAAGTAAAAACATAAGTATTAACAAAATGATTTTAAATCAGGGACATTTGCTGCTTGATTTTTTTAAATAATTGAGTTTATTTTTAAATACCATCAAGTAAGCATAGTAGTTTATTATTATAACAACTACTAACATTTTTATAATGCAGAGCACTTCTAGGACTCAAAAAGATCTATTATTCATGGTGAGAGTTATATTATTATTCCAGTTTTGATGAGCAGTTAAAGACCCCTTTCAATTTAAGCCCCATCTTTCTCTCAAGAGAAATAACATGTTACAAATCATTTTTCATGAAACCCTGTTGTACTTCACTGGATCTCCTAAAATGATTCAATAAGTATGTTAAAAATTCACTGACTATATATGGCATGCTTACCTCAAATAAAAAAAAATAGAGGGGGCATGAGGGGAAGACATACCAGTTTTGTTACATGTTGCTTAAACCTCAAAAAAAAAAAAAAAAAAACCCCTGAAGGCCAGGCATTAAGTACAAGTTGAAAATTTTATATGTCATTGTGATCTCCACAAAAACAGCTTAGAACAATGGTATATGTACAAACAGCTTAGAACAATGGTGTGTGCTAAAGCAGTTTAGAACAATGCTATGTGAGAGCAGCTTAGAAGAATGGTGTGTGGGAGCAGCTTAGAACAATGCTGTGTGAGAGCAGCTTAGAACAAGATGTATGTAAGAGCAGTTTAGAACAATACTGTGTGAGAGCCGCTTAGGACAATGGTGTGTGCAAAAGCATAGTTAGAAGGACTTAAAAGAGAATAAACAGATAGGAACCAACCAAGTATATGTGATGGTAGTCAGGTGAAGAAGGTTGGCATATTTTTGTTTTGATGATGATGGTGTTGTGAGGAGGCAAAATTTGATTACAAAGGAAAGAATGAATAACTGGCTTGATTTTCTTGAGAAGGAGATACCTTTAGTTTTAGGGCTTTGCTATGTTAAAGAAAGGTGTTGGCTCATTTGTGACACATTAAAAAAAGTTGCAGACTAGATAAACAGCAAGGATTTATAGCTCATGGTGTATAGGGCCGAGAACCCCAAGATTCAAGCCCAGCATATTCAGTCTCTGCATCCTGGTGCCCAGATGCTGATGGTTTTCTCTAACCTCACAAGACAGGGAAGGATGAGAGGTATTTGGGTCTCTTACATGAGAGTGTTTGTCTTATACCCTAGCCATTTCACAAAGTCCAGACTGACTAATGTAATTCATCTGGGGGTTAGGATGACAGGATATTAACATCAAGAGAGGAAAGCATCTAGAACAAAGTGGGAGTAGAAAAATTTGTCCCTAAAATATGAAGAAAGATATAGAACGTGGTAAATGGTAAGTGTGCATGCATGGGCAGCTTGTATATAATGGTTCTGTTGGACGTATCCATATTGGGTCCATGGTCCACATTGATGAGGACGACTAACCAGGTTGAAGTGTGGGCATGTAAGGTCTTCTCAAGTCTCTTTATTAATAAAGAATAAAGTAATTGTGTAGGGACAATGAGAGATGAGAGAGAGGAAAGTGTGACAATTTCTTAGAGACCCTAGAATGTGTAATTTAATAACTATATATTGTAAATGTGATAATTCAGCATAATTATACAATTTTATACCTTCAGATGGAGACATAGTGCTGAATGAGAAAAATTATTCCCTGGCATGCTGGTTAAGCTCTTAGAGCAAAACTGAGGCAAATACCTTTATTTCATCTAAATAATCTGTATACAAGAGCCTTCTGTAATGGTGATTCAGGAAAATGCAGAATAATACTTTTTTTTATAAAGAATAGATATTCTTGACGAAGTTTGAAGGTTGAAAAGGTATGACTTAAAGCTAACAACTTTATGATCTTAGTCAATCCTGATGCTTCAGTTTGTGCTTTGGGAATCTGCATCCCTAACGCCTAGGGTGCTTCTTTGCTCCCAGCATATAGGAGATAACACTGAAAAGGTATCCTCACTGCTCTGAGAGGTACCTCAGAAGATTCTTAGTTTCCTTTTTAGGACAAAGGATCAAGAAGATCATAGTGACTATCATTTTCTTCCATTTCATTAACTGAGACCTAAGTTGTCAAAAATAAGCAAGAATTAATTCAGATTTATGATTGTTCAGATTGAGAAGTGATTTAGAAATCTCTTTTACTCTCCCGGGCCTAGTCACAGACAAGACATGGCAGACAACATAATCCAGACGTTATCAGGTAGAGAAGCAATTAAATTAGAGCAGCGCCAGGCTTGGGTTATAGCAAGAAGACAAATCACTCATCAGGTCAGTGAGATGTCTCAGTAGAAAGATGCTGAGAGCCTTAGCACTGCCCTTCACCCAGATCCTATGGGGTGCATTATTCTGAAAGCATCCCTTCTACATGAAGAAACTAGAACTTTGCCTGGACTTTACATGTAGCCAAAGCTAGTAATACACTTTGAGGTCACTTAAGACATAAGACTGCTATCCTCCTGTGTACTCAGCTGTTTAACCTACCTTCAAGAAAACAACTAAGCTTCTTGCTTTAAATTTTCTATGTAATCAACTTTTACAGGCTAATAATGCATAACTTAAATTATGTGCTTTTCCATGCCCCTGGAAAGCAAGACATGAGTATATGTATTAATGTGTACTTAAAACTATTTGTAAGAAAAAAATGTGTTTAATAAGTTAATATCCACCATAAATGTTGCACACAACGTATGCATATTGTTTGATAAACAATCTTCATGGTACTCTGTTTTCTGGATCATTTGCAGTCAGTGACTTCATCGCTTGTAACTCTGTTAAAGATTGCTGTACTCTACTCAAGTTGATTCTTTCTGTGCTGTTCAGAAAATGAGAGCCAAGCTCTTTGTTATAGACACACAGTCAGAGCCAGGGAGAAATGTATTGACAAGATAGCATTCACATAGGCATAGCTTCATTCTATGACAGAAAACACCAGAATAGAAACAAGCAACAGAATTGAAATCTGCCCTTGCTCTTGGTTAAATGGTATCAAGGAGAAATATTTTATTATTTTTTTTCTAACTCCAGTGCTGACACATTCTTGGCACTATGAGGTTCTTATTAATGTGTTTAAACCAACACAATACTCACATGTAGAAGAAAGCTGACTCCCACACGTTGTCTTGTGACTTCCATACATGCACCATGGTACGTGAGCACACACACAAAATAAATAAATGTGTAAAAATGAAAACACTCTACATCTGGCCCAACTTATTAACAACCCTCTCTAATTAGGAACATGCCACTATAGCAAGAAAAATCATGACTAAGAGATGAAACCTTGGTTATTCTGTGGGGATTTATTTCCATTTGAGATCAAATACTGCTGTCTAAATGCAGCCGTTTTCATGTGATCCTAAGGTTTATGTGGGCTCAGGAAGGAATGCCTACCTTCTTATTGTTTTCTTAGGCTGCCTTTTCTACAGGTGAAGAACTTTGCCTTTCACACTTAGTGATTTTCACTGTTTTATGTCTCATGGTAAACTCCTTGGGTACTGCCATGTTCCTTTAATTCAGAGATTAGATTTTAGAGTTACCCATATTAAAATCTCAGTGACAGGAAAATAAAATGTAGCAAACATAGTTTAAAATTCTTTTAATACCTTGTGTCTAAATATTTGTTC